TTTTTCGAAAACTTATCGATACATCTATGTGAACCGTACGAAACATACCCAGCACTAGTCACATCCGTTTGACAGCCGTCATTCTAATCAAGCTATATTGGATAGACTATAATTCCTAGTAGTCTACTCTGACAGCAGATACTAACGTATGTTTGCTCAAACATAATATTTGCTCCACAGAAAATGATAAACAGTCCAGTAGCCGAGCCAGTCAAGTCTTGCGCCGCGGGTGCGGGCGAGGAAGTCCGCAGCCGGAATCGAAGCCCAGACTGCCTGCCTTACGACCGAAATCGGGTCATCCTGACCCCGCTGCCTGGTCGAGACTTCTCTACGTATATCAACGCCTCGTTTATTGAAGGTAAGAGAACTAATATTTTCTGCCTGCCTTACGACTTACAGTTAAAACAATGACGTCTGTCGGTAAGCGCTGAAGCAGCAGAAGGACTAACGCATTTGCACTCATCAAGTTGGCACTACTGTAGAGTAAGGTCCTGTCAATCGCCAGTGGTGCCAACTGTTAAATTAAATGAGCGTCAGTGACGTGAGTTGTCTATTACGGAAAATGGGGCAGTTCTAATGCTAACTTCTTCCATGAACAATCCCTTGATTGGTGTAACTAACCCAACTTTGCTATCGATTTATAGTTAACTTATAATAATGTTGTTTTTCGCAGCATACGACAACTCAGAAGGCTTCATAATCACGCAAGACCCGTTACCGAACACGATCATGGATTTCTGGCGGATGGTCTCTGAACATAACGTGTCCACCATCGTCATGCTGAGCGAGGTAAGTTTAGTTATTTTATGGTGTTTGAATTTTTACCCGACTGCGCCAGAAGGAGGGATTTACTGAATATTTTAGGTTCTAGAAAGTTGTACACTGATGTTTGTAATGTGAGTAATAAATGTATCTTTCTTTCTTTCTTTCTAATTTAATTTAATTTTTAATTGCAATAGGTGTAGTATTCACACGAAAAATATCACTTTTTTACATTTAAGAGGCAGGGATTCAAATTAAAAGCAAAATCATTTGAATAGTACAAGCTTGCTTAGTTTGGGACTAGAGACAGTGTAAAATGTCCAAAAATATTTATTTCGGTATGCTTACTTCTTACAGCAGACTTATTACTATTGGTTGTCACTTATCCGCTTTGCACTGAAATTGAAAAGTTGACAGCACATCCTTATTCCAATGGAACAAAGACGTGTTGCGAACTTTTTAACCACTGGTTGTCACGAACTATTTGACGTTGACTGTACGTAATATGTCTGCGGGCACGAAACTGGCGACGGCCGAGCGATGGGCGGGGCAACGCAACGCGGAACGGCGGCGATGAGGAATAGTATAGTTCCAAAATACTGAACTGTCCTATGCATGACATTGACAGTGGGGCGCCACCGTCAATACCGGATCGCTAGTTCCGATTTTTGCCATGTTGGAAACCATATAGTTGAACGATGGTAGCGCACCCCTGTCATTGAGTTTGGTGGGACAGTTCAGCGTGGGTCATCTATATTGCGATCGCTCTGTTGCAATCGCTTGGCCCGTCGCGGCGTCGCCAGTATTGTGTCCCCCAGACTACCTGTAGTAACGGCGTGATATCTGTTATAGATCGGCGACGGCAAGTGCCCGCGCTACTGGGACGACGGCACTGCGCAGTACGAACACATCGCCGTGCAGTACGAGGAGAGCGAGTCCTGTCCCTACTACACGCGCCGCCAGTTCCGCGTCACCAACAACAAAGTATGTCTTCATTTTCTGATAGGATACGTCATCATTCGTTAGCTAAGAGGAACGAGTTGGAAAAGCTGGCAGAATCTGGATGCGACAAAATAGCATCGCGGGAAACTTGGACGCGCAGGACCTGCGAATCTTAGGGGGAAGTCTTTTGTCTAGCAGACACCTTTCTATATTCGTTCGTTTCAGCCAAATGACGTCCAATGCCCAAAACAATGGCCTCCTCCATTGATTTCTATAATGACCGGTTTTGCGCCGGTACTTCTCGCGAACTTCACCAGTTCGTCGAGACACCTAGTGGGGACCTAGTGCCCACTACGTCTTCCGACCGTGGTCGCCATTCGAGAACTTTTCTGCCCCAGCGGCCATCAGCTCTACAAGCTATGTGCCCGACCTTGCTCTACAAGCTATGCTTTCTATATTTTATTCATTTGTTTACTCGGTTATCATAGTATGTAATTACATTTTTAGTTATTGCCAAACTGCTTAGCAGTTGGTTGTCTTTATCCACAACGAGGAAGCTCTTGGCCTGTATCTAATGGTAAGTGATGATCAGGCTGAAGGTGAAAGCGAGCTTCACCCGGAATCCTCAACCACGGAGAAACTGGCTATCTTACCTCTAACTGCCGGAACACGACAATGCAGTTTGCTTTTATATGAAGATAGCTTTCCGCCCGCGGCTTCGCCCGCGTGGTATTTTGTCTGTCACAGAAAAACTATCGCGCGCGTCCCTGTTTAAAAAAATCAGGATTAAAACTATCCTATGTCCTTTTCCGGGACTCAAACTATCTCTATGCCAAATTTCATCAAAATCGGTTCAGTGGTTTAGACGTGAAAGAGAGACAGACAGACAGAGTTACTTTCGCATTTATAATATTAGTATAGAATACTGTTGTCTCGGGTTACAGAACGGCGACAGCGCGTCAGTCCGCCAGCTGCAGTACCAGGGCTGGCCCACGGCGCCGGGCCACGTGCCCGAGGTGACGCGCGGGCTGGCCGAGCTGGCCGACGCCGCGCGCCAGCACCGGCCCAGCGACCACACCATGCTCGTGCACTGCCAGTGAGTACCGAAGATCCGGCTCGAAGGACCAGGGAATGAGGCGGTCCTAAAAAACTGCCTTGCACAATACCAATAAAATGAATGCGCAAAAAAGACATCTGTAAGACACACACTGACCAAACTAATATCACAGAATAATAATAAGTTCTACGTACAGAAGTTTTACATCGCGAAGGTATTTAAAAAAATGTATGCTCAATGTCATTAACAATATGGTGTAATTTAGCCTGTCTTAAGAGTCAAGCACCATTTTGTTGACAAACGTCAGTGATCGGCACTGCGCCGAAGCTATAGGGCTGACTTCGGTAAAATGATGTGACGTGAGGTGCCAAACTGCGGAAAATGGCGAAGGAGATACATGATTTAGCATGAATTATCATGAATAATATTAACTACTTATTTACCTTTCAGTGTCTTGAGATAACTTAAAAAAGTACATTCTGTGTTTTTATTATTATTTAGGCAGTTAAATACTGCACAGTATTTAGTACACCATTTTCTTTATTTTCTTCCATCATACATAAGAATACGCGTGCGTGAGTCAATGTTTGCTCGTATGTGAGGCCTTGTCGAATAGTATCCTGTAGGTGGGCCATCGTGAGTGTTTTGTTTTCGATGTAAACTCGCGGAGATGAACAGGCCTGCTAATATGCACAAACACTTTCTGTAACGAGCACGAGCGACAAATTGTGGCTCGGTTCGCGGCGTCGAAATTTATTTCGCGAATGGGTCTTGCCTCAAGTTTATTTATTTGTTTAAAATAGACAAACAGATCATCACTGTCCACACATAGCCATGAGGTTGAGGCAGCGTCTCCATTTGAGCAGCCGGTCGACTCGAGACTGCTGATTGCCTCTAGTGGAGATCTGAGGTGGAATTGTGTAAAGCAATCGTAATCATTTGACAACCAACAACATTTGACCAAGTTAAACAAAGCGTTTGACAGAATAATCGTACGTTATGAACTGTCAAATGATTACGATTGCTTTACACAATTCCACCTTTGGCTTAAGACACCCTTAGACTAGACTTTTATGCCCGTTTTCACCATCAATCCCTAATTTTTAAGTGACCTCTATGGTAACACATAACAGGAATGTTGTTTACCTAGGGGTCACTCAAAAATTAGGGATTGATGGTGAAAACAGGCATTAGTCTCTTCTACAGGCGGGGGCTACACGCAACGTCTAGCGGTACAATTAGTAGGCCTTTCGCGAAGCNAAAAATGATATGGTAATTAGGCTGAGAACGCCTAATCGTGAGAATGGCCGTTTACAACGTAAGAAAAACCAGTAATTCTACAAAACGAATGTACATTTATTAGTCTAGGTCTTTTAGTTTCGACGTCATTGTTGAACAAGGATACCCCTTCCCAGTGGTTCCATAGCGCGGTTAACATGCGAAAATGCACTGATTCAAAGAATCCCTTAAAGTTTGATCACGACACACTGAAAGTTTTTAGTTTCAATTCGTTTTTATTTGACTGTACTTTTGAAAAGGTGCGAGTTGACGAACAAAATAATAGGTAAAATCGGAATTTCCCAACTCGCGCCTGCTAGCGAGTTTGACAGGTGCGAGATGACGAACAACCCAGTTGTAGTATAGTCGTACTAAACTAATTAATTATATCACATCTGCTGAACAAGGTACCTATTCGGATCACTGAAAAATCGGACGTTCTGTGATTGTCTGTGTATTCTTGTGCAAAATAAATACGATAAAGAAGAAATTAATACCTACCTATTCATAGTTAATATTCACATAACCTCATTTTCTCCTCCTCCTCCAAGTTACCTATACTTTACCAATTAATGCGATACTAAAACAATAGCAAACGGTACAGTATTAAACGAGGCATATATTTTTTGTTTCTTAGACATGTACATTGTCTTTTATTCCAAATACCTATTTCGTATTTATTTTAACACATAAACTGGTTTTCCACTGAATTGACTAGAGACAATAAGACACGCCCTACCTATGAATATTTATTCTGTTTAATATTTTTACTTCTCATGAAAGTGAACATTCTAGGATTATCAAGTGGTTTTAGTAACAAACTAACAATACAATTCTTTTTGCCGTACAAAGCAAATTATACATAGGTAAGATTCATTATGTTCCTAAAATATTTAAGTAGGTAGACTGAGTACTTTATTTAGATATGTATAGTTGTATAGCTATTTAGGATTCCACTTACCAGTTTCCATAAGTACGGAATTCCAATCAACGCCAGTCCTGCTGATATCTGACTTGCGCCGACGCCCAAGTTTCTGATCACAGTCGGGTAAAGCTCGGCGGTGAAGATGGGCATCATCATATTGGTCGACCCGATGGCGAACTTGCCCACCATCAGGCACACGATCATTATCCACTCGTCTTTCAGGGATATCGAGAACAACTCGCTGGCCACACACGCTAAACCGCATACCAGCATACTTATAAAAATAGGAATCCGTCTTCCAGCCTTCAATAAAATCGGAATACTAATAGCTATCGCTGGTATCTCTACTACGGCCAAAATTATCGACGTGACATGCAAGTTCCCCAAATTGAAGTTTCCGATATTCAACAATAGGCCGTAGTACGCAATGGTCATTGCAAACCAAGCCACGAATAGACAAATGGTCCTCTTTAATAGGTGTCCTCTGAAGAGAAGCATTACGCTCGGCTCTTCGTCATGATTCGCGGCTCTGTCAAGCATGAGCAGTTTGTCCAAGTCGGCGGGTACTTCGCGTCCGTTGAACTTCGCTGCCTTTTCAAGAATCACTTTAGCTTCTTGAGTTCTTCCCATACTCAATAACCATCGAGGTGACTCTGGGAGTACGAACCTGAAAAAAGATATTAACAAGTTGGTAAGTGTTACTGTAGTAGATACATAGGTCTAATTAGTTTCTTAGATGAATCTAGAACATGGAATCAACAAAAATATTATAACAATTATATTTACCACAAAAGCAGGAGCAGACATCCTGGCAGCGACAACGTCAATTGTAAGTCCCTCCAGTTTGGCATCACTATCGACAGCAATGACACGATGATGTACGCCAGCGGTAGGGGGAAGAAGTTGCAGACTCCCGCTATGGTCACCCACTTCCCCCCCACTAACTCCACTGAAAGCACGAATGCTGCGTAGACCACTGACACGGAGACCAAGCCCATGATCAGGCGGACTGCGACGTATTGCACGTAGGAGCGAACTAGCAGTGAAAGGATAGCTAATGCACTCTGAGTCACTAGCATACCCATCAAGATGCGCTTACGGCCGAATCTGAAATAGAACAATAATAACTACATTAAAAATAAAATATAAAACTCAATACTCAATACTCAAATCTTTATTGCATCACACTGAATACTTTTGTCTTAATTTCAACCGGTTGCTTGTTAGCATTAAATAGCGGCTTCATCGGTTAAATTTTACTTTTATATTGGACGATATTCTCTCCAACCTAGATTTCGATCAATTAATTGAATTCCTTATGACTAAAGGAACTCGAACCACTTGAACTATGTACTTATCAGTGAGAAAACAATACCTACAATACTACAAGACACGAATTATTTATCGTTATGTACCTTCCATTTCCATGGCTAATTTCACATATGTATTATTACTTAAGATTTATGTAATAATATTCTGCGGTGGATTTTCCTAGAGTCAAATTTTTATGATTAGCGTTAGATAAGATAATCACTCGAATATTGAGGAAAATACAAGTTTCCGTATGTGCCAGAACAATTTAAATCACAACATTAAACCAAATAAGTATAACAAAACCGACTTCAGTTAGGTATAGAATCCATAAGGCATTAAGTAATTAGCATCTCTATGACACAAGATTTTGCAGCCTCTAATATACATATTTTAGTTTAAAAAGATACAGTCAATCTGGGAAACTTTGGCCACCAGCATCAACATAGGCTCAAAATACACCGTGAAATTTTAGTGGTTGTTTTCCCGCAGTAAAATGATTCTATCTTAGTAGAACAATAGATTAAGGAAGTTTTTTTTAATTCAAATAAAAAAATACTTTGTTCGGAGCGTTTGCGATTCAGTTTATGCTGTAGATATTATGGTATTCAAAAATAACTCGCACTATTCCATAGTACGGCCTGTTCATCTCCGCGAGTTTACATCGAAAACAAAACACGCACGATGGCCCACCTACAGGATACTATTCGATGAGGCCTCACATACGAGCGAACATTGATTCACGCACGCGTATTCTTTTGTATGATGGAAGAAAATAAAGAAAATGGTGTACTAAATACTATGCAGTATTTAACTGCCTAAATAATAATAAAAACACAGAATGTACTTTTTTAAGTTGCCTCAAGACACTGAGAGGTAAATAAGTAGTTAATATTATTCATGCTAAATCATGTATTTCCTCCGCCATTTTCCGCAGTTTGGCACCTCACGTCACATCATTTTACCGAAGTCAGCCCTATAGCTTCGGCGCAGAGCCGATCACTGACGTTTGTCAACAAAATGGTGCTTGACTCATGAGACAGGCTAAATTACACCATATTGTTAATGACATTGAGCATACATTTTTTCAAATACCTTCGCGAAGTAAAACTTCTGTACGTAGTATTTATTATTATTCTGTGATAGTACTAACTACTAAAGGTAAATCGTTCTACCGCAGGAAAACAACCACTAATATTTCACGGTGTATAACAGGGCTTAGTGGCTTTGATCTTTTATATTTCAAACAAGCTTTGTGAACAATTAAAACAACCAGCCAAAGATACAATTTTTTTTTTCTTTTATCCACAACGAGGAAGCTCTTGGCCTGCATCTCACCTGATGGTAAGTGATGATCAGGCCGAAGGTGGAAGCGAGCTTCACTCGGAATCCTCAACCACAGAGGAACTGGCTATCTTACCTCTAACTGCCGGAACACAACAATGCTGTTAACATTGTTGTTATGGCGACAGACTTAGGTAAGATGGTGGTAGCTAGCCAGGCGGACTTGGAACAAGCCCTACCACCAACCAAACCGAACAGAAAATTCTGCCCCCACTGGGAATCGAACCCGGGACCTCTGCGTCTGAAGCAGGTGGTCTAACCACTAGACCACAGAGGCGGTTAACCATCTTTTAGGCCTTCAAAATCTGGGTGAATTCGCAATTATATTTAGAGCTAATGTTATTTGATGGCCAAAGTTACCCAGATTGACTGTACTTACCAACGTTACTTTTAAAAAATAATGTATTCATTTGTAATAATTGCCTATTGTGCTTTTGCCATATGGCTGTAAATGGTATCTTAAAAATGACCATCATACATCACCCCTGAATGGAAGAAAATTAATGGTCACAGCAATCTTCGGCTTACTTGAAATATTATTATCATCTACATATTTTATTTTACGAATTTATTACACAGGTAAATTGAATTAATAAACACTAAAGTGTACCTACTTATTACATGCACTTAACACATGTTTAGGAGATCATATTAACATAATTTTAACTCTAGAACTTGCATTAGTTCCTAGTAATCTAAATTTGCTATTGTCTTTAGTTCTACGCATAATAGGCATAGAATAGTATGTTTGCTTGCGTCAACTACTTATTTTTTTTATTTTTCGAGTAATTTTTCTGCGGCTCTTGGCTTAATTGAATACTTAATTACTTTTAGTTTTAGTAACAAAATGCTAATTTTGCAGACAACTTGAAACTGTTTAAAAAGAGTTTAGCGACTAAATTAGGCGATAAAAATGTATGTAGGTTCTTTAGTTTTATGCAGAAATAATACAAATGTAAAACGCTTCATTGATGATACTCACTTATCAGAAATCCATCCACCCACAACGCCACCAGCGCCAACGCCGACCAAAAAGAGCACTTCAGCCAAATTCGTCAGGCTGGCTCTATCGCAGACCAAGCTCCACTCCGAAATGATCGTGTCTCCCACTTCGGACCGGTCGAAGTCCCACTCCGAGCACTTCATGAAGGAGTTACTAAGAGAAGCAGTGTGGTTCAGTATACTCTCTACAGTGACATCCGAAGGAATCACACGCACGCTACAGGCGTCCACGGGCTGGCTGTAGTTAATCCAAGCTTGTAGCGGCAAACTTGAAAGGTTTTCTGGCATCCGACACCAGAACTTGGTTGCCTTTGCCTGGAATAGATAACGTATTGGTTAAAAAAAACTATAGATATACTTGTACATATTAAAATACTTTTTAAGTATTAACACAATAAGGCTGAGTTGCACAACCTAACTTTGACCGTAACTATGACGATAGCCGGTGTTTTTTGTATGGAGTTTGACAGATTTTTGACGTTTGTCAAAGTTAAAGTAAGATGGTGCAACCCAGCCTAAGTATGATAAGTGGCCATCACCATTAGTTTCTAACAGAATATGTACCTACTGAAAACCACCATTAAATTTGAATACGATTTATCTCATGTTATTTATTTATTCCTGATCCATTCAATATTTATAAAATGAAACATGAAATCATTCTTACAGTGAGCGTATTTAAACAAAGATGTAAATTGTTATTCACCCGAACAATTCAGTTTGTCAATTAAGATGTAAATAAGTAATATTTATAACTGCTTCTTACGTAGTATTTGGCAGTAATATTAATTTAATAACAAATACTATACAATTAAAGAGACATCTCCAGAAAAAAGTTACTGACTTCCATTGTTAAGAGCAACGTGCACTCCTTTTTTGCTTCATGCCTATTAGGTAATAGATTACAATTAAACCAACATCCACTATTCGGCTTCAATTCTAGTTACGAGGAAGTAAAACCAATTTATAGCCTTTTTTAGTTGATACTTTTTAAGATGAGTTTGATTGACTGGATGCTTTGGTGTTGTCGTTTAGTGTAAACTGATTAGATCCATCCATACTATCCTTCCATAGTAATAAATAAATGCGGAAATAACTCTATCTAATACGATTTTGAGCTTAAACCACTCAAGCAATTTTGATAACCAAAGGACGGGACTAAAAATTTCCATGACGAACTAATACTCACTACTCTACTACTCAAGTGAGTATTGAAAAAATTATAACAAAAAAAAAAGAAAATAAAACATTTATATGACTTTAATAAACGTATTCTTGACTTACAATTAAGATTTTCTGTGGCTGCACATTCACGGGTAAAGCCTCGATTACTAGTTTTTATAGTTATATAAATATCTACTAGGTGCAATAAAAAGGAAATTGGAAAGAACTGTGAATACTTAATAATTCACAAGTGTTATTATGAGAAGTTGTAAGAGAAGTTGCTGCCATTGACAGAGGACACCGCGACCGGTTCATTTACTATCTAATAAGTACACAACATTTAACAGTCTAGAATATTTGCAAGTGTAAAATAATTATTCACCTTATAAAAGTTGCTGGATAACCTACAGGGCTACAGGTATCTTGTTGCAATAAGTTTTACCTCATTACTACAATCTTCATAATAACCGCAACAAATCAATTATCTTTATCATTAGACGTACTTTGTTAGATTGTAGGTAGGTATAATCAACATATTCTTACGTGTTGTTGCCATAACGCATTTTTATGAACACGTAATTTTATACGAAATACACTTTTTTCATGATGAAGGAGAATAAATTGGTGAGAGACAACTCTATCCCTCCCACTACCTACTACTGTGTACTCATCGATAAGTGTCAATCAACAATCACACTTCAAATAATTTATGATAATATTAACATGAGCAGCCGCAGTGCTGTAACGCGGGTCAGTTTCTCGTGCTTTTATTCGTATCTCAAGAAGATCTCTATCTGTCGGCAATTTGAAAAACAATATGACCTTCCAAAATTTTGGCGACAGACTTAGATTTAAGATGGTGGTAGCTAGCCAGGCGGATTTAGAACAAGACTAGCCTACCACTAACAAACAGAAATATCTGCTCCCAATGGCAATCGAACCCGGGACGTCTGGATCTGCAGCAGGTGGTCTTGCCACTAGACCACAAAGGCGGTTAAAATCTAAAAAAAAATATAATTTATTTCTTGTAGATGTTACTCACCGTAAAGGTAGGCAGGTAAATGTGGAAAGTGCAGGGGAATGAGAACAGCGACAGCAGGAACGTGATGAGCAGCTGCCAGCGGCCGTAGTTGCCGATGACGCGCGACACGACGTCGGCTTGCTCGTCCTCCGCTGTCGCTTGCGCTTTGGTTTTCTCCCTCGACACTTGGCTCGGTATTACTGAAAAAGATACACAGATTTATTAAAAAAATATCGCGGTTTATTGTTTGTTCATTTCAGCCAAATGATGCTGCTGGACAAAGGTCTCTCCCAAGGATTTTCATAACGATCGGACCTGCGGTTATTACGCGCTTTAAAGGACCTTATTCACCACTCGTTCCTACCGCAACTATCCAGGGTCTACAAATTGGTCGAGAAACACTAAACTTTTAAAGGAGGAGGTCGAAGTAGTAAATAAATAATTCAGATTTATCCGTGAATTCCGTGATAGGGTTTCCTTACGGAACTAACCGTATTGCATACATGAAAACTGTTTACCGTCGGTATGTCTACAAAAACTTTATGGCTGGCTCTTTTATATGAAAAATAAAAAAATAATTAATATACCTACTTCTTAAAACTTATTAGAACAATATGAACATGAACAGTTTTTACAGCTATGAAAAAGTTAGACATGGTTGAAATGACCGTGTTTAAACTTTTCATATTAATGAATTTCATTAGCATAAGCATTTTCACATTTGTTCTGCTGCTTTTTAAAATATTTTACTTGTATTACGAATTGGTAAAATTATTCAGGTAAACAGTATCACGTGTACGACTCGAATGGCACCAGTTAAACTCTGTTTAAAACTATAGATAGATATTCGCTTGTTTCGGTCCATTACCAAAGTGGCCGAAAATTTGAATCGTATCGAAGGAATTTTGAAATGTCCCTCGAATAATTTTATTTAAAAGCACTATCTTCAGTCACTTGCTCAAATAAATAAATAACACTCAGTACTCTTGTACTGAGTGAGTACTATCCAAGACTTAGCGAAGATGTTTCCTGATATTCTTATATTAAAACTACAATGGCAGTGAAACAAAATAATTAATTAGGTATTACGTTAGGTAAATAATTTAATTAAGCATGACGATTTCATTTTGTGTTTATTTTAATTTACGCTAATTTTTGTGCACATTTTATATGCTCAAATTGGAACCAAACACTATATTAGGTCAAGTCATACAGAGATGTTGTTAGTATAAGATATTAGCACAATACAAATATTACATGTAATTTATTAGCACTTCCAAAATTACTAAAAGTAGATTTATGTATAATCTTATTTCAGGTAATTTTGTAGCCAGTACATTTTAAAGTAAGTCAGGACTGAAAAACATGACACGTTTCTATCAATTTAAGGAAAACCTACGGAAAGTTTTCCAAAAGCTTCTTAGTTAAAAACATAAAATGAACTCGGCCTTAAAGTTTCAATGAAGACTATATGCAGTACATTTTAAAGTACATTTTCCAATTAATTTTAATGATTAGACATGCGTTTGGCCCACGTGATGCGCAGGCGCAACTCCGAGGGCTTCACTCATTAGGCCCGGCGCCTTGACAATGATCTTGCTGCAGCGGTAATGACCCGAATGCCATCGCACTCATGTTTTGACACTAGACCTTGACGGCTTGTTTATATCCGCACAGTGAATGTTTCCGACACTTTTCCGTTGTTGTTTAACATCCTACATACTTACATTGAAAAAGCATGTTTATGGATATTTATTTTCATTTGTGTTGTCGTTAGAATGCAGAGTAGTAATTTAACGAAATGTTATGTAATACATAAAAATAAGCTTTTGAGGAGAGAGTAAAATAAGGATGAGGGCTTTTAAAGAAGCTACAGATAAAAAAATATCCCAAATTCCCAAGGTAAGTTTATTTTTACAAATGTTTTTTACCGTTTCACGGATTGAAGTAAAAACGAATTACCAAAAAGTACTTGCTGAGTTTATAAGGAACTGAGTATTATATCTAAATAATAAATAAATCCGGTAGGTAAATATAGTAGGTATATTTGATAGTTTAGGTTTGCCTATAAATATCTGTTTGCTAACAAATCACTTCTTTCAAAGCTTAGCCTTATTGACACAAAAAATGCTGTGATAAAATGTGTTGTAAAAGAGCTTTACAAGATACCAGTGAGTCAATCTCGTTTTCACTTCTCAGCGTAAGTGGGTACTTCTCATTTACACTCAAATTTGATGGTCACACAATAATAGTTCATAAACGGTATAAGTTAGAACAATAACTTTGAAATCAGATTATAAAATATCTATTTAGCTACATACAAAATAAATTTTATCGTAATAGAAGCAAAAATAATACGAAAAAATCACATGAAACGATAAAAAACGGGGTCATTTTTCGCGTTCTCATCGTGTCACACCTTCGGTTGCAATGAAACATTTGGTTACTGCATCCACAATTTTCATTTAATTTGTGTGTAGCATATACTAAAATCATCGTAATCAAATATACTTTCCACACAATAGTCAAAAAAATATCTTCTTATAATTATTTTGAATTGAGAAAGCGAAATACGTTGGTCACACGATTTTAGGTACCTAAAATTTTGAGTAATAATACAAGATTGCCGTTAAACCGAACATCAGCAACCAATCACAGCGTTCTATTCGGTTAACGTCAGTCGCGCTTCGACCATTGGGGAGGTGAGGTAGGTCAATCGTCGTTCCACGAAAAAAATACATAACTTTTTGTGATTATCCATAGACATACCGTCGCTTGCTTGAACAATATTTTCTACCTCTAAAATTTAAACAATTTAATTGAAACTTTGCCATTGAAAACTTGACATATTAGACTTATTTGTGTAGTATTCAACTTGAACCGTTAAATTTAAATTTAAGGATAATTCATAAAAAACTAAAATTTTCGTCACCTTCGTGGCATCACCTTCGTGGTGTTTTATACACGAAGGTGATTTTAGGCCACGAAAGTGATTTCTTGCTTTGGTTTATTTTAAAATATAGTGACTGGTGTTTATGTTTTTACAATATTTTAATAACTAATAAATTATACGTGGTAATTAGAGATCAGTACATCAATAAATAAATAAGGGCCTCGTATTTTTGTTGTCTGTCTGTATGACTGTATGTATGTCTGTATATGTGACTGTGTATCTGTTTGTAAGATAAATTTAATCTGAAGTTTGAGTTAAAAGTTGTACAACAAAAATACGAGGCCCTCTGGCCTAAATAAAAAATATATTTTTGTTGAGGGACTGATAATCAGTTAGAGTTCTTTTTTATTGAGGTACTGATAATCCGTTTTTTGCTTCTTTAGCATTTCAGAATGCCACCAGTGTCACCCTTAAAACCAATTGCGTAGAATCTTGTAACTTAGTAGGTGACGTAATCGGTAAAATTTTATCTTGTATTTAAGTAGGTACCTATTTATATTATGTTATTGCTATTTATCTATGAAAATAAGACAAAATATATGTTTTATAAACACTTAAGAGTCATTTACAGTTGTAAAGTTTGAAAAAATTATTGCTGTGAAATACAGAATCACTTTCGTGGCATCAAAAAATTCAAAACGTTAAAGCTTCCAAACGAGACTCACTATTTGACTGATTTACTGAGAATACAATCTTCACATCAAGCGCTACAATTTTTGTTTACAAAAAGTTGAAATAAGTTAGAAATAAAATTCGCCACGAAGGTGACGATGAGAACCGTGGCGATGAGAAATACCCAAGTAAGTACTATTTGTAATTCTTGTACAATAAGTAATCTGGATTCTGAACCATAGGTACAGTGTACACCTTTTTGTCAAAGTAAGGACAAATATAACAGAGCTTATTTTACCCAAATTGCGTCTTAAGACCATTTTACCCATCTTCAGATCACTACATTGTTGCTATTAAACAACATGTAGAGAGATATGAAAATTGGATTAAAATATACCTACTTCTAATTGAACAAATGCTTAAACCTTGACTTATAGAAATCACCTAATACTATGTTGTATAAACTACTAACACCTAATTGTGGGATCGATCAATTAGATAAGTACATGTTAATGTGCAGTGATGGGTAGAGCAACAATTAAAGGATGCACATCCAGTTCAAGGCAGTTAATATTTACATTTACAACATCCACATGAGTAAAATCTTGTCAGTGCCCCGTGGGCGAACAAAACGTTTGTTTGACAGAAGCGTAATAGCTGTGGAGGTGGGGTTAAGAGGATACGTCAATTCCACGGCCTAGCTTACGTACATTACGCTCGTAGTTTTACAAACAAATAAATAAGTACGAGTCGTCATCCGTTGAGACATTATTCTTCATCTTACGGACAGCGCTGCATTTGGGGCCAAGGTCTGGGGGCATATCGATTACAGTGATCGCGATTTGCATGGCTGGCTTAGTCAACACGGACAATTTGCACTGGGCAGGGCTCCACAAGGCCCTAGGACTCATACATTAACACAATATCAACCTTTTGGTTATTCCATTCAAACTGGACGCGAAAGATATATTTTTACTAGGGTCGGATTTTACAACTCAAGCAGCTGTAGATCCCGGCTACACAGTAATTGCAGCGATGGGAACGAGAGGTGGGAATAGTCCCGTAACCCTTTGTGATAGTTTAGAAAGGTTTCTATTAAGGTCAAGTACCTAGCTAATTACGCAAAATTCTTAAATTAATACCTATAAAAAAAATGTTCAAAATAAGATTCGTGGTTGCATATACTTCTATAATAGCCATTTAAATCCTCCAGTAGCAACGTCGGCATTTGACTGACATGGCATTGCTTAAACATGATGGAGCATGAACATTGGACACTGCTCTCACACGCCCCTTTATGTTAGTCACCGTTAAACCGAATCCAATCGTTTGTTGATGGCCACTGAATTCCACTGAGGAAATATTCGATGACCACGAGAAATAATATTTACCTACTTGTTGATGCAAAAAATTGCTATTTTACTATGATATAGTATTTTCGCCATGATAAGATAAAATTAGGGAAAGGGTTAAATGACGTACACGTACGTATGGATTACATTTACGTACATCACAATGCAAGCTGCGTAGTGTAAAGTATCTGTATCATCAATTAAATCCCTTGAATTGATATAAATAGAGCTTTGTTCTACTGATAATGATGAGCGTAGAGCAATAATGCGACGGTAGTTTCAT